GGCTTGTCTTTGACCTATAAACAAGTTGTGCAACTTTAGGGTTTTTACTGCACTTTTTTTATAAGAAAACTTACCTTGCAAGTGCTAAATCGCAGTTTGTGGGCCTCTCTATGAGTTGTGGACCTCGAAATTCTTCTTCCAACAGCGTCACTCCACAGAGCACTTAATTGTAAATAATTGACACGCCCGTTTGTCACGATTATTCTTCTTAATGCACTTCGGTCGGCATTTGTGATATTACTTTTTTTCACATATCGTGGCTTAATATTAACTGAACCAGTTACGTTATATCTTCTAACAATATTTCTCACACTGTATCGCGATAAGTCTAACAAAGTTGCAATTTCTGAGCTTGATTTCCCAGAATTAAAAAATTTAATTATTATGAGTAATCCGAATTTTCTCACTAATAACCTTTCTTCAACCCATTTTGAAAACCTTAACTACCCAAAAGTATTTTAAACGTATTCTGACAGCTGTGATTAATAAAAACAGTTGTCATGGCTTTTATTTTTCCACCTATGCGTTCTAGACTTATTTTGCATTGAAATGAAAATAGGTTGATATGCTGTAATTGCAACATGTGTTATTTTTATGCTGCAAATTTGATTAGGGAGTGATAAAGTTGGTGTTTTCTAGTATATATTATCAAAATGTTCATTGTTAATATTTTGAACCTATAACATCCTGCTACATTTTTATTATTTGTGTTTGATAAGGAAAAAACTAGGATTTCAATAGTAGGGCCAACTGCAGTGGGAATGATAAAATAGAAGTTCAATAAAAAGTAAAGCGGATTAAGAATTTAAGCAGAATTGAAGCAATTTTCTGAAAGAAGCTCTTTTTGGCCTCCTTCATTTTCATAGTATTTTCTCTCCTTCAAAAAGGCAGGGGTATTTCTAGATTTCTACTATCTGCGTCAGAGCTCTCCTAATCATGCTTTCTTTTTTAATTGTAGGAAATTTCATAAAACAAATAAAAATCAAATGCTTGAACAATTTGATGCAAATAGGAAGCCATAAAGACGTATTACAATTGTAGGAACGACTGATGATACGGCCCTTATTTGTTGAATTAAATATCCGCACATGGTTTCCCTATTTATTCTTAAATTTATTAGAGTAGAATGAAAAAAAACAGAGGGTATGCGTATCTCAATTCGAACAAAAATTTTACCTGACGTTATTAAAAATCGTTATAATCTTACTTTTTAAGTTACGTACACAGGCAGTTGGTAGTTAACTTCGTCGTAGTTAAATAACTTGAATGATAAATCAGGTCTATAGGATGTCATCCACCCCCAAGAACTGGTATGTTTTGCGGAAGCCAGCTTGGCTATGTTGTCCGATTTTCCCCAGGCAATCAATCAATTTGCGGCGGCGGTTAAAAACTTTTCTTGAGTTTGTGCCCAGTCACCGGCAGAAGGCAGTGAACTTCGAACATTTAAAGACTTCTGGCAGTCCACGGCACTACTGTACTGGAATTGTATGGAATTTGAAAATGAGATATTATGTTTTTTGAATGTGCACATTACGAAACATTGTCTTATTTCTATTGGCCTGTTTGTTAGCTTTTGATGAGGATTGAGCTACTATGACAAGGACGAAGGAGAAACTTTATTTCTAGGTGTTTGAAGTAACAGCCATTTAAAAAAATGGAAAGTCGTCGAAAATTAGAATTTGTAGGTTGTGGAATGTGGGCGATTGTGATTGTTGCATCTTTGATATCAGTTGAAAGCGTTCTGTTATCAAGAAGCTTCTGAGTCTGGTGGAACTAAGCATAACTAGTCTAATCATATTCGCAAATTTCCCCGAAATAATTGTAAAGTCTGGTTTGACTGATGCAAGTTGTTCAAGGGATAATGAAAAAATGGAAGCATAAAATGGGTACACACATTTTTGTGGCAAAACTTTTTATTTGACAACAAACAATGAGAAAACGTGTTTTTTGGGATTCAATCGAAAGTGTTGACAGGGACGGAAAAACTTTTCATATAGGATTTAGGTATTTTTCAGCCCTACAAAATGAGCCCATACGTAGAAAGATCGGACTAATAGCAAAAATGTTATGGCCAAAAACGAGGCAAAATGCAGGTTTTGTCACTTGTTGCGATGATAATTTCACGCTATTACTTGAAATTCTTTAAATCCGTAGGATTCATATAATAATAAGTTTATTCACGTAACATATAAATATAACTAAAACTAACATATTCAGGGTGACTTCGAAGTTGAGTCATTTATTTTAACAGTGGGTAGATCTGATCAAAATAAATGTTTTTTTCCTTTACCATTTTTCTGGTAAAATTAAAGTAACAAAGTTATAGCCCTTTGGAAGTTTGAGTACCGCCCTGTCTCAATAATAATATTATGTGCTCGTGTTTGGCAACAACGGATATAATCCGCCTTATCGGTTCATCGCATCGGAAACAAAAAAGAGAAAGAATTTGGAACGATGTTTTTACAATTATTTTATTCAGTTGTATGCAGTCAGTGTCAGTCGGTAACGCGTGAGTGAATAGTGGTGTCTGTTGCGTGGCTCAAACGAAATCAAAAATGGCACATGTTTCCGAAAATGCTGAACTTGTGGACATGATTCTTATTTACGCGGCATCACGGATTTACGCGGATCGGTTTCCCAATCGAGTGCAACCAACCCCTCGTGCCTTTGTTAATGCAGTACAAAGGGCTCGTGAATCAGGTGACTTAAGACCTCACAGGGGAGGGCATGCCGGTGCTCCAAGACCGCACGATCAAATACAGGTCCGCACTGAAATACTTGTCGGGAGGATACTTTATAAAACAAGGTAACATTTTTTTTTAATTTTTTTTTTTATATTTACACACATATTTTGGTTTATCTTCCTTCTACAATCATTATCTGAAAATTAATGACTCAACTTCAAAGTCACCCTGTATAAATAAACTGAATTTACCCACAGAAGAATGAATTCTTGAGCGTGTTTTTTAACTTAAATTTTTACATAAATATACATATACACACGTATACACACACAGACCTATACAGGTTTCGTCAGAGTTGTGAGGCCACGTGATATTTACTGCTGTAGTGGGGACACTCAAATTGGCTACGTGGAGAACAAGAGCGTTTCGCGCTCATTCTAAAGCTATTTTTGAAATACCTATACACTCCTTTGTTACCAAATACACTCCAACTTTCCTTGTGAGAACGTCCTCACAAAATCGACAGTACAAGACTGAGTAAGCATATGTACCCATAATTAATTGATCTAACGATTCCCCCTACACACGCCCCACTACTAATCTGCTAAAGAATATGTATGTCTACAGTATATTCTGATAAGAGATAGACCGGACATAAACAAGACCACGTGATCATCGAACGCTGTAACATTCGGCAGGGACGTATTAAAAGTCACGCAGTACATATTTTAGATAGCAGATGCTGCTTTGCGTAACTTTGTAGTAAATTAGCACAATTCGATGTGTATACGATTGGTGATGGATATAGGATCATGTGGGGGTGGGGTAAGAAATATATAATGATGTAAATATACATAAGGGTTTCAAAATTTTCGCATCGATTTCCAGCTTCGGATGCCGTCTGATGTTTGGTGAAATACAGTCGAATATAATCTCAAAATGGCGTTTAAATTAGCCTAAATTAAAAATAATCGTATATCTCTTAAAATTGCTTTTAGAATATTGATTAGTATATTTTTTGATTTCTAGGTAAATATGTAACCAAATTAAAACGTTCAAAACGTAAAAAAATGTGCATGGTTGAACATTGTCAGAAAGTAGATTCTTGAATAGGTTTTGCCAAAATGGGTTCAAAAATGTCAATGATTAATTAAAAAAGCTTTATAATTACTTATAACTTACCGAATTTGATGAACGACATCTTTTATTGGAAAGATGAGCTTGATGAGCTTTCATTATCGCTACTGCCTGAAGCACCAACGTCAATAATGAATGGCTCGACTTGTTCCTCTAAAATATTGTCCAGTTCCCACATTCTCTTTTCAACTTTGTCTTTCACGTGCTTAATACAGTTTTCCCATTTTTGCGCTGTTATTAATTCTAGTGCTTCTTTGAAAAGTCCTTTGAGGTCACAAAATTTAAAAGTTGTATTGTGCTTAGCGTACAACTTTGTGAGAAACCTTCACAACAATTTCTTTGATGGTTGATGCCTCGTTCTCCTCGCGCTCGATCTTATATATATATTCAAAATGACTTCTTTCATTTCTGCACTCAGGTGTCTTTTTATAGAGCGTTTCCTAGGTGGACTACAGGAGTTTACAACTTCATCGGCAGTATCTGTACTACTGGGCAGTTTGCGCAAGCAGTTGATAACAATAACAATCAATAACAAGGTATAACAATAACAACGACAAACTGAACAACTTAATAAGATAACAAACGAAAACGTCCAAAGAAATATCAAATTGCAATGTTGCACACGACATACGTAACACGTCTGAACCTGAATGTGACTCTGCCTTGATACGACTGCTCTGCCGCTCGGCATAGGCATTTAATTGCGAATTGACCAATGAGGGCTCCTGTTTTACGTCGAGACGGCGGCGTTAGCGTGAAAATCACCCGAACCTTTTGTTTACATCCGGTCTATCTCTTATCTGAATATACTGTAGGTTGATGTCCCCACTAATAATAGAGCACCTGAATTTTAGTAGAAAGCTATGCGCACGCGGTCTTGTGAGGACTTATGGATATGAAGACCCCAATAATATGGTGTGTATGAAAGATGTTAATTTGGTTCTATAACTAATGGCTAATGGCGCCGTTTTACACTGTCCTCATTACAAAGCAGCTTCAAGTTGTGCCTCACAGAAATATTCTTACAGATAATGCAAAGGTGTAACCGTGTATATCTCCGTACTAGTTGGAACTGTTCCCACTAGTTAGGTCGTATGGTGTGTATAGGAATAGCGTCCCACTCCACCTACTCCGTGGTATGTTGTATGAAATTCAAACGAAGGACTATCCAGTTTTCAGCTAGCTTTGGTTCCGACGTAGAAACAAAAATGGAGGAGGCTGAATTAAAGGAGCGCTTGATGAATGCTGGAGCTATTTTGGCAATCCATCATGTAAAGCGTATTATTCCAATATTAATGGTGTCCAATATTTGACACCTACACAGTATTGTTTGATGAATCAAACTTATTATGTTTTAAAACTAATTATACTAAGTGACATATAAATCCGAACACCCAGTTTAAATGGTTTTATTTTAATAAAATTTTGTATAAGTACTTAATGAAGCATAATAAGTAAATGATAAAAATTTCAAAATGATTGCACTGCTTTAAAGCCCTTTGACCTTTAATAATGTGTGGATGCACCCTGATATGCTACGCATTCTCCAACGCGCCTAGGCATGCTTCTGATCAGGTGGTCAATGTCCTCCTGTGGTATCTCATTCCAGGCAACCACCAACTCCTTTCGAAGTGCTTCTAGAGTCTGAGGAGGACGTTGCAAATTGAGCAATCTCCTACCCATCATATCCCACACGTGCTCAATTGGGGATAAGTCGGGAGATCTTGATGGCCATGGTAACAATGTGATATTATGTTGAAAGAAGTCTATTGTGACTCTTGCAACATGTGGCCGGGCATTATCTTGTTGGAAAGTTGGATCTGCCAGGGTGTCAAGTTAGGGTAAAAGATGGGGTTCTAGAACTTCGTGGATATAACGCTGCGCGTTCATGTTACCTATGATGGAGATTAAAGGTGACCTGGAACCATAAGCTATAGCACCCCAAACCATAACTCCAACAGTTTGATGAACATGTCTTTCAGCAAAAAACTGTAGATTCTCCCTTTCACCACGTCGCCTTCTAACCCTGGCACGACCATCGTGCATGCCTAAACAAAATCGAGACTCGTCACTAAAGACAATACTGTTCCATTCCTGATCCCAGTGTGGCCGGTATGAAAACAAGCCAAAACTTCTTATCGTCGGTAAGCACTTCGCATGCCAATAGGTCTTCCGTGTTCTGCAAACCATTCATTTGCAATGGACCTGGTAGTGGAGAAACGGTCCCTTAAGGCCAATAATCTTAGGCGGCGATCTTCACGGTCTGTTGTTCTACGGCGGCGTCCAGTGCCCCTTGCTCTTTGCGTACGGCCTTCTCGAAGCCATGCCTGACAACACCTAACCACAGTGTCTACACTTCTTTGCACTCTAACTGCAATTGCCCGAAGAGAAAGTCCAGCTTCCCGAAGTCCCACTATACGGCCCCTATCAAACTCACTAAGTTGACGAAATCGTACAGGTCTCCGTACTCTAGGCATCGTAACCGATCGTAAAGGATGTCAAGAACCAAAATCCGCCAACGTTGATTCTTTACTGCGGCTGAAATATTCATTTTTAGAGCGTTAGTGAATTAAAAAAAAAGCAGTATAAAAACCGAAATGTCCAACTGATAAGGCTGAAAACATTTTCACTTGTTATTTACAGTAAGATAAATACTTTCACCAACTTTTATTAAAATAAAACAATTTAAACTGGGTGTTCGGATTTATATGTCACTTAGTATATATCAATTTTCGGTGGCAATGATTTGTGCCGGGTTTCTTGTAGCAGGGGTATTTCCATACTTTATTAAATTTATTCTAAATATGTAGTAGATGGTGATCAAAAAGACAGAATGAAAATAGGATTCAAAGGAAACAAAAAATTGATCTTTTAAAATGAAGTTATTTTCTTTTAATTCCATCATGATAATCATTGTGAATAAGATAAATTTTGAATATAGTTCTGTACTAGAAGTCTCAGAGATATATGGAAATATTGGTTTTTCTCTTGCCCAAGGGCTTCATACGCTTTTTACCTCCCTCGCCAACTGGCGGGGAAGTATTGTGATCGGGAAAAAATTCTTGTTTTTTGATAGGTAGATACATTACTTACTATACACATATTAAAAGAAAGCGAATGTGTCTATCATCTTTTGTTGCGAATTACTCATAAATACGAGATGGTTCAGTTTGTATGGAAGGAAAAACGTAACCCATCATTTTTTGCATAAAAGTAACATTTATCTTTCGGAACGGTTTGCGATTCATATCGGCAAGGTTAACTGGTGTTTTCGAATATCTGCGTGAAACCATCGACTCATTACCGACAAGTGCCAAAACCTGCAGTTTGCCTCGATGTTCGGCCATAACTTGTTTGCTATTAGTCGGATCTTTTTACGTATGGTCTGATTTTCCAGGTCTCATAGATACCTAATAAACTTATATAAAGAGTTTTTTCGTTTCTGCCAAACCTCTCGATTGAATTCCAAAAAACACATTTTCTCACGCTTTGATGTCGAATGAAAAGTTTTCCCACAAAAATTGGTGTTCCCATTTTATGCGTCCATGACACTAACAACTGTAACAAAAATGTCCTGTTGTTCAAAATCATCGTCAAGCGAGATATTTTCTGTTCCACCCCACACACAACAGGAGTAAAATTCAACTCCACCGAAATGCCGAAAAACAACCAGGCACAAGGATAAACACTACATCGTCAAAACATCCTAAAATAGGCATCACCCAACCGTTGTTTTTGCCTTGTGTGCTGAAAAATAGCTACCCGCATTTAATATGACCCCGTGCTCCAGCATCCTGAGCGTCATGTTATGCCACCACGTGATACTGATGGCAGTAACGTACCAGAATAATAGAGATGTGATAAGTGGTTACTTTATGAATAACGAATACTACTTGATGACATTCTGCAGACGATACGACTTTAATATCCATATACAGCGACTGATATGGATAGATAAACAAATAGATAGATATATGTACTTGCAAAAAATCAGAATGTAATTGAAACTTAAGTACTTGAAAAATGCCAACATGGTGTCCAAAGCGACATCAGTAAAAGGTAATTGCGGTCTTATACGTCAGACAAACAAGGACTCCGAAGAAATAAAATATTTACTTTCTCACAACAGTATTGTTGCTCTTAATTCAAATACAATGGTATTGTTAAATATTCAATGTTAGATATAAATCTCACTGATCCGAAATTATATAAGAATAGTAGAACTAGTCGTGCCCGTTCCAGAAAAAGGACGTTCATCCCTACAAAAACGTCAAGCGAGTATGAGGCTGTCTGTCGTTTTTCGATGTACCAGATACAAGTACCAGAAAATACCGAAGTTCCTCAAAAAAGTAAGAAAGACCTACTTAGAACCGTTGAACACCGGTTAATTGTTATGCGATCATGAACTGAAGAGAACCAAAAGTGAGAATTTACTAGTTCAAGATCCAAAGGGAACAATGTTGTTTGTCCTGTGAGAAAATAATATAAGATCGTTTGGCCTTGATATCTGCGCATTTGAGACCCAGCAACAAACCACGAGATAAAACCTGAACAAGAAACTCTTGATCCATTAGTTAGGTTGGAGAATAACTGGCGCCAGATTTTTCAGTCCCAAATTTTCATTACGCTTCAAATTATAAAATTTCAGGAGTTTCGAAACATTAGCTTCTCAGGACAATTCCCTAATTCCCAGGCAATGGGAATCAGGAGACCAATTCTTGACAACCAGGAAGTATGACAACTATTAAGAAGGTGTCATGGATCGGAGGAATTGTATTTTTGTGCTGTATTATACAACGTTTCCTTGATCATCGAATTATCTCTACCTGCATCAGTCACTTGATAGTACGAAGCATGTCTTTTAAGTTTTGCATACAGAAATCGTCAGTACTGAATCTTAACCTCACTCTTTAGTAAACTTAAATTCAAAGTTCCACAACAATACAATAAAGTATCTCAAGCTGTGAAAACTCTATCTGTGTCTTTGATGACATGTAGCATGTATTTTTATGTAATTTTATTTTTTTTATATTTGTTTATTTGTGCATGTTTTCTCACTTGTCACTTTTCATTTGTTTGTGTTTTGTTTACGAATTTGTTACTGTTTACTTTTCGCCAAATACCTTATATTTTCTTCTTTTAAAGTTACTTCTAAGCATGGTTTTTGATTCTGCTACGTACTCTGTTGATGCACGTTTCTCTTTTGGCCTTTTGGTCATTATACCATGCATAGGCTACGATTCTGCAAAACAAAATTCTGCTTTAAATCTCCTTATTATCTTCAGTGTATCTTTTTGTATTTGCAAGTACTTGAATTTTTTTTAACCCTGGTTGGTTCTGAAATACAGCTTGTGCTGATGTAACCCGAAAGGCCATTCATTATTACTATTATTAATACGTGAAGTGTTCTCACTACAGTGAATTTTTAAGTGTCACCAAGTCATTAGAAAAACGGAACTCACCGAGAACATTTGCACATGTGCAGAACCTAGGAACAGAAGTTGACATCTGTGAGAAAAAAGTTAAGAAACGCCAGTTTGCTAACATTCTATTACTTACTCTATTCACTCGTTTTCAAAAATTGGCCTCTTGATCTTTCACCGGAAGAGGAAGCCGTTACAATTATTCGACTTAATTCAATGGTTGGGTTTGGTTCTCAAGCCATCTAAAATTGGAAAAACTTCTGGAAGTGAAGTAAAGCCGAGATAGAGATGTATGGACAGAATTTTATTAAAACTATCTCGGCTACTGGAACCAGTGGTTTCCGAATACCAAACATCAGTTCGCGATTGCACCCATCTCCGCAAGATCTCCGCCAGTGCCTACTATTTCCAACGAATATAAAATAGGGTAAACTGCACAGGAATAATAATGAGTCGTTTCAGAATGTAATGAAATTGTAATAAAAGCCCCCTTGTTTTAGAACTGATTAAAACCCAACGTGGCATCGCCAGTCGTTGTTCGATCTACATATAAAACAATTAGCTTATATACAGGGTGACTCAAAAGTGAATAGTCATATTTCTACGGCAATAAATACAGATAGATAAGTTTTGCAGCGCCGATATGAACGATTTTTAAATGCCGGACACACGTTGCAATTTTTTGTTAACACCTCAAAATTTCAAACCTCTGGAGAAAGGCAAATAGAGAAACCTTCGCGCGAATTGCATATGTCGCTGATACCGTCTGGAGACACGACCACATAGTAGATCGTAAGCCGTGTGCTCAGCTAAAAAAAGGAGGTCAAGTAGGTTGACTCTGCACTTCC